TTGCTTTGTTAATTTTTTAAAGAAAGATGAAGTTTGGAAAAAATCATTTTTTTGCCTATTTTGTTCCTCGTGCATTTTAGGGAAAAATGTTTCAAATAAATGTTACAGATCTTAAAAAGTTTTTTAATTTTTTAGTTTGTAAATTAAAATACATAAACAAATGACTGAAATAATTGCAAAAAAACCCCTAATTGAGGCCCCTAGAACACAAGGGTGTAAGTGCAGTTGCTTATCACTTAGCAACTGATATCTAACAACAGGCACGTACTTTTGGCTTCCAGCTTTCTACATTAACAACAATAACACCATCAAAAAATTACGTCATTGAAAACATGCTGAAAACTGAAAAAGTGCTACCTAGGTTTTTAAATTTATATCCAACTTTGAACAAAGATTTTTCAAAACTTTGTTTTTGGCACTTACACCCCTTGTGTTCTAGGGGCCTCAATTGTGCACTAATTTATTAAATGTTCATAACTTTATTTTTTGCATAATGACGTCTAATATAACTACTTGAAATTATGTCGATTAATGAGTTATTTAAGTGTGCTACATTTCAACCAGATCAACTAAATATTTTATTACCTTTACTGAGAAAAGAATACCCCCGAAAAACAATTTTCAATCATCTTCATTTTCATAATCTAGTTCATCTTCAGAGTCATCGTTTAATGGAATTCTAATAGGTTCAATGTCATCTTGAATGTTGTCTACTGTCCAAAAATTATTCTCCAACTTTATAACATGATTGACGTAATTTTTCCAATGTCCATTGTTCTGTACTTTATCATAACCTTCATAAATCAATGTTTTAACGTCGTTTTGTTTGAAACTTGAATTCTTAGAGGACACGTACCGTTTCACTTCACTCCACACCATTTCTATTGGGTTCAGTTCACAGTGATAAGGCGGAAGTCTTAAGATATGTACATCTACGCGGCATTGTTCGTCACTGTGATTCCTGTATTTTTCACCAATACAATCAATTTTGTATTTGTCATAAATATTTTTAAATACATTAGCAGTTTCCAGAAGTTCATTTTTTAAGTAATCTTCTTCAAAATAAATGTCCTTTTCATAGAGCCACTCCTTAATTTGACGTTTCACCCAATATTGTTTGGGAAAATTTAATTTCCTAGAGTGATAAGATGCATTGTCCAAGATAATGACATTCTTTTTATTTTTTGGGAGATTCGGTATTAACATCTCTTCAAACCATTTTTCAAATAGATCTCCGTCCATCTCTTTATGGTAATCTTCAGCACCTTTTTTGGCAAGAAAAGTGATGTCAGCACCTTCAACAAATCCGTCTTTGTTTCCTGCATGGACTAAAACAAATCTTGGTCCTTTTCCAGTCGGAGTTTTTAAACCTGTGGTAAGTCCATTTACGAAAGCCTGTCGGCTATTTTTTATTGTTGTATCTTGCCATACTTGCCCATTGGTTATTCCAGTATTAACCCATGATTCGTCCATATAAATGATATTGGCTCCTTCGTTCCTCAGTTTCTTTATTTCCCGGAGATAGTGACGCCTCCAAGCGACTATTTCTTGTTTTTCTATTAATATTGAATTTCTACCTTGTTTGCCATATATAAAACCCATGTCGTGCAATAGTCTTCTCATCGTACTCTTGGAAAAATTCGGAGGATGCTCCATTTGCTTAATTTTTTCTAGTACTACGTCAAGGGTTGGAGGAATATTGTCCATAAAAAAACCGTGCACTACTTGTCTTATTCTAGACCGAGTTGCTTCATCATATCTATTCTCACGACTATTCAAATAACCGGTTCTTTTTTTTCTTATAGGAGTTACGAGTGGACCATTTTTACTTTCACTTCTATATCGGAATATCGTTCGCTCAGAGACTCCAGTCATAGCAGAAACTTCCCGCACTATTGTTCATACACTTTTATCATTATTACTGTTTGATAAATAGTTAAAAACATTTAACACTATTTTTTTGCATTCACTATTTAACAAATTACTGTTTTTGAATTTTATTACACTCGCGGCCATTTTGACACTGACACGACACAAACGTCTGATATCAACTGAAAATTCTTTTAATGACTCTCAAGTATTTACCTGAATTTATAATTGCTGGCATTAGACAATAATTTTGAATTTATAAATAGGTATATTTTTTTAATTCTAAATTATTTTGTCTGTAACTGTAAATGCAGGTAGAGAAAGTGTGTCATTAAAAGGACATTAAGATCAAAAACGGATTATACAAATAATTATTTCATTTCCACGAATTGTAAACAATTTTGAACAGAAGATATAATTCCGAAAAGACCAGATTTCCGAAATATAACTTTCTATTTTAAAATACCAACAGAAAAATTATATAATTAAAAAAATGTAGTATTTTTCCGTTTCACATTCATAAATATTTCCGAAATTATAATTCTTTTATAGGAGCCGGCCCATAACGTACGATTGTAGGTACAATTAAAAACTGACAACAATGTAGTTATTTCTGGCATATAGAAAGTACAGGCCTATCTCTGTAACGCTGCCATCTGAATGTGAATTTATCTATAGATTGGCATTGATATATATGTTGCAAATCTTATCATGTTTTAACCAGCTTCATATATCCCATCTCTACAGGATCTGAATTTACCATTTCTCATTATTTTAAGAAGCAAGTACCCGCGGCACTCACATTTTGAGATTATTAGAACTGAGAATATGTTGCTATATTTAAACAAAAAATGCACAAAAATGGATTTGATATTGTTTTCTTTATTTTTGATCTGATTCTAATGGTCACATTACAATCACTAGCAGAAATATTTAAATTACGAGGATTCAAAATACTTGATTTATAAAAAATGATATTTATCCTGGGGATATGACTCTCGGTAAGCTTTAATGACTTAAAAGCACAAGTAACATAATATTCTGTCATCATAATTCATATTATAAGATTTATATGTAATTTTTTCTTCGTGCCTGATCGTGCAAAAGATTTAATAAGCTTCATGGGTGTCTTAGTGAATATACCGGTATCAGATACTACTACTGACCTCGCCCGTGGCTTAACCAGCGATGTTCACTTACCAACCCTAATGATTCAATGCGTTATTTTAAGTTGTAAAGCAATTAAAGACAAATATTAATGCATGGATAACTTGATGTGACAAATTTATATACCGTATCACCCATTTATTAATTTTAAGTTTTTTTACACGACAAAATTACACAGGCGTTCATTAGCAGACTTAAAGCTATTATATATATAATATATAATATATTATATTATACAGGGTGAGTCATGAGGAACTTTACATCCTTCTACCATATGTAGAGTCCCTCAGGGAGCATATCATATGGCCACTAAAAAATGTCAACTCCTCTTCTTTATTAATTAACAGGGTGATTTGTGTAATTGACCATTTATTTCATTTTACTGTAGTGTTTGTACGGCTCATTTGATTTTTTTAATTTTTGCATGATACACTACACTACTATCAATCATTCGACTGGTATTAGCTAAACTAAAAAATTCCAGGACTATCTTTGGAAAAATTAATTTAGGGATTCGTATTAAATATTACACCCTGTATATATATTTTTTTAATGCAATAAGTGATTTTTAAACTACATAAATAGCCAATGAAAACGACATATTATGCGACAATGTTGTCGCACTTTTATTAAATTTTTAGTGAACGACCAAATCTAACCAAAAATAGAACAACCATAACGAAGTATCAAATTATAAGGTATTAATTTAAACAAATGTTATAAATTTCAAACGGAAATCGTTCTTAAAATACAAACATTAGTAAATTAGACACATTTTGTTTTATTTGCTACAAACAAAAAAAAAATTTAATTTACTAATGTTTGTATTTTGAGAACGATTTCCAAAGTGGAAATTGAATCGTTAATAAACGTACTTTAACCTTTAATTGTGGCATATTCCCATTTAAATAGTAATTACTTTAAAATGCCACAAGAATATAGCTTCAGAACAATGATCTTCTGTCTCTTTAAAGGATTTAATTCTTGTATTTTCTGCATTTCATCTCTTTCATCTTAAAAAAGTTCTCTAACGTACTCCCCCCATCGTCTTAATTTCTCTGGTAAATCTATTAGTAGTACTCCTTTTTTGTCTTTTATGTATTCTTGGTGTCTATTTTGACGCATTCTAGTCACTTCTCTTTTTTTTGTGCATATTTCTCATATCATATTTTGTTTCTAGTTCTTCTATCTCTTTACATTGTTTCATCAAATAGATTTCCTTAGCTGTTTTGATTTTTTACTATATTATTCATTGTATTTCTTTATACTGCTGTATATCTTTTCTTTATATTTCCGTTTTTCTTCCATCTGTAATAGTATTTTCTTCTGTCATCCACTGTTTTTGCATATTAACATTCACATTATTTTTTAATCCGTTTTTTATTCCTTCGTTTTTTAGCATTCTTATATTAATTTTTGGTTGTTGTTTTCTGAGTTGAATTATTTTTAATTTTATTTTCACGTCAATAACTAACGGATTATGATCTGAGTTAACATCTGCTCCAGGATAAGTTTTAAGTGAGGTTATAGAGTTTTTATATCTGCTATTTACGAGCATAAAGTCTATCTGGTTTCTGACAGTGTAGTTTTCTCTCCGTGAAGGAGACGTCCATGTATAAGGTATATATAGTAGTATATAGTGTATATATAGTCTTCTCTTAGGAAGCTGAAACCAAGTATTGGCAATTACCATATTCTTTTCTTGGCAGAATTCTATAAGCCTTTTTCATCTCTCGTTTCTAGTTCCTAATCCGAACTGTTGAACTACATTTTCAACTGAACCTACTTCAATTTTTGCACTAAAGTCTCATTTTGCAATAAAATTGATGCTAGACAAAGTGAAAATGTGAATGTATCAAACCACTAAAAAGAAAACAAAAGAAGGAGAATATCTTTGATATTAAAATAGTTTTTAAATCCTGAGAAAAATATTCTAAACTTTATTCATTTGACCTATCACTTACCAACACATATTCCATCCTGCTCTGTAAAAGATGATCTGCACTCACACACTCCAGCAACACATTCTAGTCTATTTTCCTTTTCTGGGTAGGGATCATGGCATTCACTATGAATTACGCAGTGGTTTCCCAGTTCTAAAATACAGATGGTTAAAGATCAACAACAGTGAAAAACTGAAACTAATTGTTAAAATATAACTTTTAGTAAAACTGAGTTAATTTATTATACGTACGGGGAGGTTTACCAAAACTATTAAAACTGCTCTTTTTGAAGTTATACTTCTATACGCACGGTCGACGTTGGAAATTTGCATAAGAGTGAATCTGTGAAACCATTATCTATGTAAGATAATGAGTAAGAGAGAGACAGAAGATATATTTTCTCTCTCTTCCTCTCTCGAAATAAAAATTTTTCCTTTTGTATATATATTTAATATTATACTATATTATATATATATATATATATATTTACGGCATAAAGTGAACTCCGCCCATGTTAAAATTCAGGTTCAAATGAGCTCCGTGGTCAAGTGGACACCGATATACGGAGCCCACTTGTCCATTCCATAATATTGGCTCTGTCGATTCGTTAAGATGTATAGTTTCATAATTCTTAAAAAAAATTGGAGCTCATAAGTACCCCTGTATCATAAATGTATTTCGCTTAGTTCACGTGTATATATTATAGGGGTCGTTCAGATCTTTTTCACTGTATATTGGAACCATACGTATATCGGTTTAAGTAAGCTCTGATAGTTTGGCAACTATGCAATTAAGCCAGCGTTCTTGATATATACATTTTATATATTTTAAACGGTTCATACGGACTCCTTATTTTTGTTAACATTCATACGCCTTACAATATGTAATCTTCTTCTTCTTCTTGATGCGCCTATCCGTTACGAATGTTGGCGATCATCATGACAATATGTAATAGATATGTATAATACCAAATACCTGTTTTTGGTAGGTACGTGCTATTCTAAAAATAGCTTTATAAATACAAAAGGATTTCATTACCCAGTTGGATGTATTTTTTCATATGCGAAAATTTACTAATGTATTTTGTTAAGATGAGTAAGTCTTTTTAAGTTTTATTTAAGAATACGATTAATAAGAACTTTTAGTTAATCCATTGTTTTACAATATCTTGTATATAGCTTCTTTATTATTTTATTTCTGGTTTTATCTGTGTACTACATATAATTCTGGATGGGTTATCTTAAAATAAATATTTAAGTGCAAAAATAGATATTTTTATGTAAAAATTGATAGTAGTGCACAAAAGAGGGAAGAATGCTTAATTTATATAAGAAGAATATACCAGTTTACCAATATTACATAATTCTGAATATTTTGTCTTCTATTTATCTTTATAATATCTCTATGATATCTTACGTAGCTGTCTGCGCTGTATTGGGTAAGATATAGTATTTGTGACGTACATGATATTCGCGTCTTAACATTTCAATTTGAGTTCTTCCTCTATTAACGGTAATATTATATAAAGGACCATTTGTAAGTATTTTGAATAGCTGACAAAATAAAGATATTGCTGACAGTTTTTGTGTTAATTGGAGATTTTGGCAAATTTAAGCAAGGCAACAACTTAGGCTTGTCTGTACACTTTGGTTATCTGCATAGTTTGAATACAGCTTGCTGTTTATCATCCGGAGAAGCAATTATAGTGTTTTTCTTCCAAATTTCGTAATTAAGTTTGTGCTCAGATCCTCAATGTTTGGAGTCGTATTATTTTTCGTTATATATACATAAATGGTGGATCCAAACTCAACATTGTTGAAGGGTTCCCTTAGCTGACTGGATTTTATCTCTCTCACTTTGAGTTTTTCTTTGCTTTCATTGCCAGCAAAGATAGCATTTCCCTATTTATTATGTGGTTTTTTCTGCACTAGAAATACGTCACATTTGTATTAAACTCCTAGGTGTATCTAACAAGTTTAAGTAAAGTAAAGTTTCTTTATCTTTAGATCTGCCCTCAATATTTATAGAATTAATGAGAATAGTTGGTCCTCAAAGGGACCGATTTGACAAAATCATATTGAACGGGTGATTAAAGAATTAGATGATTACTTAACTGATCATTATTCAGGGTATGCCCGATTGCGGTGGTCTCATTAGATTAGTACTTCAGTCTTCGTGAAGGCTGCTTTTTTTGACCTCATAAGTAATGGGTTAACTTTAATTTTTCATTAAAAATTAAAATTTTACATATTTACTATTACTTTTCGAATATAATTCGAATCAGATTTGTAAAGTAAAAACTGTAGCTATTAAAGAGTCTCTTTGTGCGGAGTTAATAATTTTTTAATATCGGTCACTACTCATTTTTTTTTTTTTTTTTTTTTTTTTTATTAAGTAAACCGCGTCAACCATGAAAGGTTATTGGCGGGAAAGAGTTGTACATGAAATTAGATGTTTGCTTATAACTACCATTTACAATTGATAACTTAAGTCTATTTTTTATATTAGATTGTACAATTTAGTTAGTTTTAGAAACTTAGACACTTTATCATAGTTACTATAGTTCAGAGCACATTTCAGATCACTTGGTAAATCACTTTGAAGTCGTTCCAGGTGATAGAGTGGACAACTAACAATAATGTGTTCGATTGTCAGAGGAATATCACAAACATAGCACAGTTTTTGTTGTTCTTTCTTCATTAGGTACTGGTGGGTTAACCTGGTATGTCCTATTCTTAAGCGATGTTGTATGACTTGATCTCGTCGTTTTTGTGGCATTATCCCTTTTGGTGACAAATCTGGGTTGATGCGTTTTAGTTTGTTGTCGTCAAGTTTTTTCCATCTCTCGAGCCATATTCTCATTGAAAATCTTTGATGGTGTTTTTAATGTCGGAAAGAGGGATTTTCTGGGAGCTCTTTATCTTGTTTATTCGTATAGCAGGCTTCTTTAGCATTCCCGATCAGCTTTTTCATTACTATTATGCCTACATGAGATGGAATCCAAACAAATTCTACCCTTTTATTCTTACTGTAAAGTTCTTCGAGATCAATTTTAATTTGGACATAGTATTGGGTGGTTTGGGTAAACCCTTAATATTTCTTGTACTGCACTTAAAGAATCTGTGGAAAATGACTGCTTCCAATTTGGGCTGGTTTGATATATGTTGTAAGGCTTTAGATATGGCATACAATTCGGCGGAATATATGGAGTACTCCTTAGGTAGCTGGAACTGGTGTTTAATTGTTTCGTCAACGAAAGCTGCGCCTACCGTTTTCATTTCAGAAGTTTTTGACGCATCTGTATATATTTGGTAATATCTTTTGTACTTGTCTTTAATCGCTTGAAACCGTTGTAGAATTATATGTGATGAAGTATCATATTTAGGATACAGTAGAAGATTTGTATTACATGTGGGGAGTTTTATGGTCCAAGGAGGAGGGTAGTTTATTTCATTGGGAATAACTTTCGGGAAATTGAAACCTGTAATTCTTTTACTAAATGATGCAGAAAGAAAGGGTTTTTGTTCAAAAATTAAATGAAAATTGTCAGAAAATGTGTGGGAGTAAGCAGGATTATTACAGTTTGCTCCAATTTTAGCTGCATATTGTAGGCTTAGTCTGTGTCTTCTAATTGAAAGTGGTGGGTTCATCAGCTTCTACATAAAGACTTTCTACTGGACTGGTTCTGTAGGCTCCAAGTGCAAGCCTTAACGCGGTATTTTGTATGATGTCCAATTGCTTTAGTATACTATCTTTAGCTGAACTGTAGACTATTGATCCATAATCTAGCTTGCTACGAATCTGTGTTTTATATATATTAAGTAATTGTGAGGTATCTGCTCCCCAATTATGATTGGCTAATACTTTTAGAATGTTCATATTTTGCATGCAAGATTTTTTAAGTTGTTGAATGTGGGTTTTCCAAGTGAGTTTTGAATCTAATACCATTCCCAAAAAACGATGTTCTTCTACATACTGCAAATTTTGATTGTAAAGTGTTAATTTTGGCCAAATTGTTTGTTTGTTTCTTGAAAAACATATTGCTTTTGTTTTGTTTGTAGAAAAACGAAGACTGTTCTCTTGACCACTTTTCTAAAGCTTTGATGGACTCTTGCAGAATACTAACAGCTATTCGGCTATTTTTATTGCTTACATAAAGAACAAGGTCATCTGCATATAAACCAATTTGGACAGGAGTATTAATGTTATCAACAACTTCATTCATTGCAATCAAGAAAAGTGTTACACTAAGTGTTGATCCTGGGGAGTTCATTATCTTGGGTATACGAAGTTGACAAATGATTATTAAGTTTAACTCTAAAATTTCTATCATAAACAAAATTTTTGATAAAAGCTAGAAGATTTCCGTCCACACCCATTGTTTTAATCTTTTTAGGACATCATACTTCCACATAGTATCGTAGGCTTTTACTATATCAAAGAAGACAGCCAGTACTTGGCGATTACTTGCAAATGCCTCGTGTATGACCGATTCTAGTTTAATCAAATTGTCCGTTGTACATCTGTTTTTCCTAAATCCGCTTTGTTGTTTGCATATTAAATTATTGGATTCCAGGAAGTATTGCAGACGTTTGTTAAGTATTTTTTCTATCACTTTGCACAAGGTGGATGTTAAAGATATAGGTCGATACGAATTTGGATCCGTCTTTATTTTATTAGGTTTTAAAATAGGAATTACAATTGCTGCTTTCCAAGATTTTGGAAATTGATTCGTATTGACATAAGAGATTATAGATATCTAGAAGGTATTGTTTAGCATTTGCTGGAAGATTTTTAAGGAATGCATAAGATATTTCGTCAGGTCCTGGGCTAGAATTTTTAACGTCCTGAAGTGCTTCATTTAGTTCATTTATACTTAGTGATGAGTTCAGTGGATGATTGTTATTGGTAATGATTATTTTTTGTTCTGAGTTTCTTTTATGTTCAATAAATATAGGGTCATACATAGAGTCATTGCTGTATGTTTGAAACGAAACTGCTAAGGTATTTGTTATTTGTGCTTCATCCGATATTTGATTTCCGTTCATATTAAGAGAGTTTATTTGTAAGCATATGGAATACCTTTATTCTGCGGATCTTGTTCCACACTTCAGATGCGGGGGTATCATCGGTAATTGAGGATACGTATTGTT